ATGGGGCAAAGGTAAAGGTTAGACAGGAAAGGACAGATATCCGACAGTTTTATAATGCGCATTCATTTCAGGGTTCTCTGCCTCAGTCTCTCATTAGCAGCTTCTTTACCAATCGGGGCTCAGAACTTGAGGCTTAATTTACATTAATTAGCTGATGGGTCATTAGTCCGCACTTAAAACACAATTAACCCCAAAACTCCAGGATATTAAAACCAGGTCCTGTCTGCTTGTTCGGATGGATGTTGAAGATCCCGTGGCACAATTTGAAAAGAGAAGGGAATTTCTCCCTAATTCCTGGCTGATAATTTCCCCCTTCCCCCCCAAGAAAATAGGTCATTTACTTTATGGAAGTTGGTGGGACAATGCTGTATGCAAATTGGCTGCCACGTTTGCCTACAAATGTACTGTCACTAGACTTGAGAGAAAACAGTGAAGCATTTTGAAATGATTCGATTTATAAATTCTACATCAAATGCAGGGATTGTTCTCATTTATTAAAGAATGTTTCCAGTGAATTGATACTCGAGTCCTATTTAGCTCCGAGTACTGAGGGCATGAGCGATATTATATATTTGTTGGTCTGTTGAATTATAGATTTTGATCATAGGTTCGGACCTCTCCTCTGTGAGATTGACACAAGCTCCTATTTCAGTGGACTAATCAATAGGCAATTATCCATCCCACAATCTCGCTGGAGCCAGAAAGCAATGTCATGCAGTAACGCTTCACTCCACAAGCCAGCTCCAGCAGACCTTGGGTAATATTTAATTGAAATCCAGTGGGATGCTGAGAATGAAGAAAGGCCTTGAAGTGTTTCCGCACAGCGCTGACGGGAGCAGACCTTCCCACTCACCTAAAGTGGCCCCCAAGCTGCAGACCGTTTGACTGCTTTGAATCTTCGCTCTGATCAAATGTTCAGATTGGGGAGGTCACTGGTAGCAGCTCCATTTACCTTGTTCACCTTGTGTAATCGGCCTGCAGAGCACCACAAAAATAGTACCAGATCCGAACCTTATTTAAAAAAAATTGAAGGAGTTACCGACAGTGGATAAATCGTCCTTACGGTACAGCGGTTAAGAGCAAAGGGGCATTGTCTTAACCTCAGAGCTACATTGGCTGGAAGTAGGCGGTGGAACGCCACCCACATCGCTCAAACTCCCACTCAGTCTTTGACACATTCTCTCAATGTGAAAGGTGCTATAGATGTGTAAATTGTGGTTGTTTTGTTCTCCCTTGCTGGAATACCAGCGTGTGTGAAGGTTGGGACTGGATGTAATTGGGCTCAGCTCTGGTCGAACCAGCAGTTGCACAGCCAACACAGTCTAAGTTCACATGTGAATGGTGGTTTCCTTGGGAAACCCTCATCTCGACTCTTATACCCTGAGGAAAGGGGTTTGTAAACTTGTAGTCGGGTCAGTCACCCTGCTCAGGGTCTTGAGCTGCCCTGTAGCCCGAGCGTTGCTCTTGGCCCGAAGGCCATTAGTGGTGTAACGGTCACTCCTTTTCTAAGTCGGTCTTGCAGTGTGTTATACCGAGCAGGAACCTGAGCGTTGCTATAATTGCAACAAAAGTACAGCTAAAGTTCAGCCACCTACTCGCTTCCTGTACAGGATTCACGCTGTGCCAGAGCTCCCGCCTAACAATCTGCCCCGAGGCTTTCCACCAGCAGCTCTCTCTGTTGCAATCCGTGCAATTAAACGTTTCCTGTTGAAAGTGTAACTTGTTTCATTTGCAGCGAAATTTGTTGGGACCTGGTGAGGTCAGCGGCAGCAGTAACTGCAGCACAACAAGAGCTCGAGCGTGTGTGCATTTTGCAGTCGAGCACAGCAGCCAATTTGAGCGTCCCACAAACAGCCACGTGTTTGACCACTTTTATCCAGGGGTTTGTTGGCCAGGACACCGGGAGAAACTCCCTCCTTTTATTGAACGTTGCCGTGGAGATCTGGAGTGAACTCAGAAAGTCCCTCCGTGGGGTTTGAATCCACAGCCTTTTGACCAGAAAGCATGGTTGTAACCAACTGAGCCAAGGCTGACTCCTAACTCAGCCGGGCTGACAACTAGCTTTCGGTTTTCCTTATAATCCTTTCGCCCACAAATATATGGTCAATTCGCTTTACAGCATAGTCTGTGAAGCGCTTTGAGACGTCCAGAAGACGTCAAAAGCGCTGTATCAGAGGCAAGGATTATTATTATCATTATTATTATAATCACCACCACTTTTTTGTCTTTGCCCTTTGCAACCATGGTGGTTCTTTGACATTACGAGCCTTGGTTTCTCATCCATTTAAACCAACGTCCAAATGTTGCTGATCTCTCACTACCCTCTGGTTTCAGTTCCCCTGTATTGCATTGTGCTGTGCGGTGCTCCCTTGCTTTGCTCATGAATGGCTTAGGCAAAAGCTGACAGAACCTGATCGCTTTCATTATTCACATCATCTTTCGCTGGTTGTTAAATCCCGTCACTGCTGGTTGCAGGCCTGGTTTTTCTTTGGATTGAACCATAATAATAATTAAAAATGATGATAATAATACTTGCATTTAATATACCACCTTACCAGGTCATTGAGACGTCTCAAAGCATTTATACTGCAAAGTGGATTGACTGTGAATTTTGTGGGTGAAATGCGGTAGCTTGGTGAGCGCAGGAATGTCCCACAAACAGTCGTGAAGTGAGTGACCAATTTTATTGGGGGGAATGTTGGCCTGGTTACCGGGGGAGAGAGAGACAGAGAGAGAGAACGCACTAAGAACTGCAAAATGGTCCGTTTGAGACTCATAGCGAGTCTCTTCTGGAGTGTGGAAAAGGAAATCTTTCAGATTCAGAACAATCATACTTCCCATTGCAACTCGAGGTGCATCCTGCCTCCGAAGTAATGCGTATCCTGTGGTCCTGTGGCTGGGGACTGACTATATGGTGCTCTTTCGCTTCCGGGACCTTGTGCTCGATCGAACACAGGTCATGGCCTGCGACTGGGGGGGAATCAAGACTTCACCCTCGGAAGATTCAGTGCTTGTAAAGGAGTTGATGCATCTCCCAGTTAGGTTCTGTTTGTGGAGCACATCTGCTTTCCATCCTTCCTCTGCGTGTTCTCTGAGGTTTAATGTCAGCGAGCTGAAATAGTTTCCAATTATCTGCACATTTCTAAAGTGCCAACAGCTTTCGCCAGCCGTTGGGTTTCTTCAAGCGCTTGTTTACCAGGCACTCAATACTTGTGGCAGGACTGTGTCAAACCTCCGGATAATACACCTAGAAACTACAAAAATGCATGCTGAGTCTAGACAGGCTGCTTGTGATTTAATAGAGACTATGGGAAACTTTGCAAGGGCTTAAGTCTTCCAGTGTAGTTTCCTGAGGTATAGTGTTTCTGGGCAGGATTGATTATTTTGTCACTTTTTTTTCTTCTCGCAGCTCCAGCTTCAGAGACATTAAAAGCTTCCTTCATTGGAGAAAGTGAATCGTGATACAATGTGTGTGTATGTGGGGTGGGGGGGGGAGAGCGGGGGGCACAAGCGCTCTCGCACGTTACCCAGTGTGAGGGGCGCTATATAAGTGCAACTTGTTGTACTGCACTGGCACAGTTTGAAGCCCAGGCTTAATTGACATTTATAATAATAATAATTTGGTCACTCAATCCACCACTGTTTATGGGACACTGCTGTGTGCAATTGGCTGCCACGTTTCACCCATAACATCTACAGTCACTACACTTTACAGTATATTCTCTGAAGTGCTTTGAGACGTCTCGAAGACACGAGAAGGCTCTACATCAAATGCAACGATTATGATTTATTTTTATTATTTAACTTTGTAAACCGTATTTGACTGTTTGACAGAAGTATATGTGGCAACAAAGTTCCCCGTCTCGGGGTGGGTGGGGAGGTGTTGATGGGCACAGCCTGCTCTGGAGTCTCTCAGATCCTATGGGACTTGGTTAGGTCTGTCTGGAGCTTGGTTAGAGCACTATGTTCTGTCGATTGTAGAGCTGAGCTGAGTGTAGCTGGAGTTGGATGCACAGGACCTAAGCCTCAAGTGGTGTAGAGTGTAAATGTCAACCCCACAGAGCAGAGTTCTAAAGCCAGCTCCAATCAATCATCAGCCATTAGGGATCTCAGTGCGGTTATTGCTGCACTAAATGTAATTGGAATCTCCATGGAAGAAAAATGCCTCTTCCTGGACCCTCCTGCATCGAAGGCCTCACTATCCCCGAGATCTGAGAGCTCTCATTAGCTGACAAGCCCTGAGAATTAGGAACCATCACTCGAATAAAAAGATACAAAGTCCAGCTGGGCCTTGCGCTAAATCAGGAACAGAGATTATTGGCAGATGTGGGAATTCATAGGACCCCAGGGTCCGCTTGCGGTCCTTAAATGGGAAAGACCCCTAAACTCTCTCATACGCAACATGTGTGGAGGCCATGGGGGGCGGTTGGGTGTTTTTAGGAGAGCTTTAAACTCGTCTTTGAAACCCTGCCAACCTTGACTGATAGAGAGGCAATGTGTTAGATTGGGAAGGTTATAACAGGCTGTGCCCACATGCGGGTTTCCGCGATCGCTGCTCTATAGATGATCTGACGAGGCATGTGTTTGGGATGAATGGCTTGCCCAATTTGCTGCCCACCTGACTTTGGGTGGTGTGGGAGCCGGGTGGATCAGCCATGTGCCCGAGCCCAGCATAAATTAACTAAGGGATATTTGGCTTCAAACTGATAGACAGGGGCAGCCCAGTTGGTGTATTGGATAGAACTACAGCTTGAAGACTACAATAGCTGGTTCGAAAGCCCAATCAGCGCATGAGTTTGCTGGTCTCGGCCGGGGCTGAATGGGAAGGTTATCTTCTTACCCACAAAGCAGCCCTGTCTGGCCCAGCACCAGGAGATTACACTGGGCAAGTCCTGGACACAGGTCCTCCCTCAGGCATGGACAGAGACGTTAAGGATTAGCTAATACTGTATAATCCTAACAACCTGAGTGATCTAATGTTATTTCTCTCTCTATTTCAGGTGAAGCTCTGGAGCAAGTACAAAGTGACCAATATCCCCTCATTGATATTCATAGAAGGCAGCACAGGGAAGATCATCAGCCGAAATGGGCAGCTAATCATCAGGGATGATCCTGATGGTAAGACCTCCTTTCGCTTCAAGCCGCTGTGTATTCACAACAAATTGTAGTGACGAGAGAGAGCGGTTTCTCACATAACGCGTTTTATTTGAACAGGGTCTGAGTTTCCGTGGGGGCCCAAGTCCTTCGGGGAGGTCATGGCAGGTTCCCTGAGCAAGAACAACGGTCAGACGGTGGACAGCAGTGCTCTGGAGGGGTCTTATGTAGGAGTCTACTTCTCTGCACATTGGGTAAGGAACAGGTCTCGGCTGACCGCTCTCTCTTTAGTGTTATGGAATTGGTGAGCAAGTCGACCATGAGATTGTTGGGCCAGCTGCAAGGACAGTATCGCAAGGGAAGAGTGTTATGTGAATGCAAGTTGGTGCGTGCGTGTTTGTGTGTACGTGTGAGCAAACAATCCAGACTGACAATCCATAGCTATAGTACGCTTCCTGCCTCTGTTGGTGCCAGCCTGGGTGACCTTTGCCGTCTGTGGGGGGGAAAATGGTAATTTAGCCGATCAAGCTTCAGTCTGAACAAAACTGACTTTGAACATTTTGTTACTACATTAACCCGCGGCAAATTTCAGCGGTTTTCCTTTTCCTATTGGGGTAATTCTCTTAACTCAAAGATTGCAGGGGGCGCAGACATGACATCTTTATTTCCACATGCAGAGGCTTGTATTCGGATATCAAACAAGTGGTATCTGTCAGTCCTTTGGGAGTTTTTTTTTCAAAGATAATCATATTGCACAAAACCATTTCTGACACTTGCAAGTACAGGGGTGACAGAGAACAGCTGTTGGCTGCATTAATTTTTTCTGTTCCAGTGCCCTCCTTGCCGAAGCCTCACCCGCGTTTTAGTGGAGACGTATCGAAAAATCAAAGAGTCTGGGCAGAAGTTTGAGATTGTTTTCGTCAGCGCTGACAGGTATCTCAAAAAGATCCTTCCTATTGAGGCATTGTTTTAAAGGAATGTACTTTATCCCTCCCTTTTAAGTGTTGACTGATGTGGAGAGGCAGGGATCTATGGTGCAACTGTATGCCAGTTGATATTCACATCCAGGCTCTTGCTTCTAGGTTGCAAAGAGAAGAAAAAAAGCCTTTTTTTAAAAAAAAATCAGCTTCAAAGATTTTCCAACTAAGGACCCGAGACAGCGCATCAGAGGCCTTGTGGCTGGTGTCTGCTCTTGAAATGATGTCCTACATCTGTCGACCTTGCATGCCTCCCACGTTGGGTTTAACCCATAATTCCGTCAGGTTTACTGTTTGCTGCTTGCACGCACTGGTCAGTGATGGCAGAAATTAGCTCCAGCTCGTCACTGGGGGGGAGGTAAGCAGAGTCTCCTTGGAGCTGAACTGACTCCAAGGTGACATTCCTGGCAACAGAATGTCGGAATCCAGCCAGCCCTCCGTGGCGGTCTCTCGTCCGGTTCCTGAGCCAGGTACGTCCGCAATATTCCGGGGCACTGCTGATGACAGCACAGCCAGCCTGGCTTATCAGCAGGACCCTGAAAGGCTGACGAGTCACTCGGGGCAAGGAGTCATCCCACTCAGCTCCTGTTAACCCTGCAAAGCCCTAAAGTGTAAGGTAATCCTAGCTGGAGAAGCAGCGGGAAAGCTTGTCAGATAACAATATCAATGGCAAGCTATGCAGTTTTAGCTGGTTGGACTCCAGCAGTACCCCAAAACACATTCTTGCCAACCTGCGCCTAATACTTTCCGAAATTAGGTAAGCAGGATATGCCCCTCCAGGGAGAGAGGGCATTCCATTCCAACAATCTATCTCTGGGATTTCCATGTGTAGGTGGGATGTATGGAAATTTCAGCTTGGTTTGGATACTCTTTAGCACGGTGATGGGTCTCCGCACGCATTGGACACCCGGCTGACCAAAAAATTATCACTGGAATACTTGGGAGAGAGCTCTGTGTACCAGGATTGTGTGCGAGACTTTGTTGCTGATTTGTTGGCATAAATAGATGTCTGATTTGGGGGAAGGCGCTAGCAGAGCATAAAGTGGGTGCTTCAGCTAATGGAATGTTTTGCTGTCATGTCCTATATCAGTATTCTGCTGCACACACTGGAAGCTTGATTAATAACATACCATCTATGTGGGAGTCAGCTGCCATTAATAGATTAGCAGGGGATCGATGAGGCCTCTTAGAGTTTGGTTTATCCTCAAGCCAGGATGATGATAAAAAATAATAATAATCCTTGCATTTGCTATATTGTGCCTTGTCACAACGTATCAAAGTGTTAGTGAGATATTGCTGTGTGCAAATTGGCAGCTATGTTTGCCTACTATTGCAAAGCCACGACACTTCACAGTGAAAATCCTGTGAAAAGCTTTCAGTGTAACAAGGCGCTACATCAAATCCAAGGATTACTAACCTGGGCCTATTACCTCCTGGAATTCAGTAAACAGGGTGCCCAATCCACTAATATATTCAGTGAAGCGCTTTGAGATGTCTCAACAACGTGATAAGACGCTATATCAAATGCAAGGATTATTATTAATATTTATGTGAGAAGAGGATTTTGAGACCTCTGGGGGAGATGGCCTGTTTGCAGTGAAGTCCATTATTCACATTTTGAAACTCTCTCCCACTCCCCCAAACTGGCTAAAACGTATGTTGGATGGATGGCTGTTTTCTTTCTTTTAAGTTTCTAAGAAAACTGAAGCTGTGGTGGGGGTGAGGGGAATGAGGCCAGAGTTTGATGGGTCATCTGTAACTGGCATCTTACTGAGTAAAACCAAATCCAACTCAATGTTGGGATGGCTTTGGGCCAGAGTTGATGTTTTGGTTCTTCTGGAAGTATTTATAACGATTGACTTAATTAAAAACACAAGCCTTTTCCTGTCTTGGACAGCACTGGGATGGTTTGGCAGCTGGATTGTGACTGATGAATACATTAAATGTCCCATTTCAGCCTGACCTCAATTTTCCTCCAGTGAGTGAAGTGGAGAGCTAAGATAATAATTCTTCATGTTTTTTTTTGCAAGACTCTCTCACCAGGAGAACTGAATGTGGGTTTAGTGGCTTGTGAAGGGGTGAGGGAGGACACGCAATGAACATTGACTGTCACTTAATCTACTGTTGGTGGAGCTACGTTGTCATTGATGGGTTTATATGGTGCAGTCGCACACTGTTTCCCATATTCTTTGACCACCGTGTGTTGCGTTTGTGGAGGAACAGCGCTTTTTCTGGCAGCTGAGTTATGAATGATGGTGTTGGGCATGGTGGGGGGAGAGGTGGGGTATTGATGAGGTGTGAGGGTGGGGGGAAAGAGGGTATGAAACGGGAGCTCATCGCTATGCACCAATGCTTTGGGCTTGGTAATCTCAATCGCTCTGCATGCTACTTGCAGGGCCAAAGTCTATCACTTTGTGATCAGTGGGTGTTGCCAGTGAATTGCTAAACTCGTTAAGTCCAGGGGGAGCAGTGTTAATTTCAAACCCTGGCAACATTCAGTGGTTGAGGTCCCTGAGGGAGCCACACGTCTCCATCTTGCACCAATCTTCTTCTCAAACGCATTGCTTGTGATTTTATTTCAAAAAGAGGGACTGCGGGCCAGTACATTTCTTTCGTCAGCAGCAATGTTCTCCCTTTTTAAAGTCTGGATACTTCGCTCTTGTTTTCAGGTCAGAAGATTCCTTTAAGCAGTATTTCAGTGAGATGCCCTGGGTAGCTGTACCATACACTGATGAAGCCAGAAGGTCACGGGTCAACCGGCTTTATGGCATACAAGGTATTTATTAACAGCCGACCTGTTGTGTGTGTGTGTATTTTTAAATGTCACTCTTGCTCAGTTGTTAGCACTCTCCCCTTGTGAGTCAAAATGTTGTGGGTTCAAGCCTCGCTTCAGGAATTTGAACTCCGTCTACGTTGACACTCCAATGCTGCTTATACTTTGGAGGAGATGTTAACCTGAGGCTCTCAATCTACCTGTTCAAGTGGACATTAAAGATCCCATGCCACTATTTGAAAAGAGAAGGTAGTTTCTCCCGGTGTCCTGAACAACAATCCCCCAGATAGAAATGAGTAATTCACTTCATGACTGTTTGATGGACATTGCTGTGTTGAAATTGGCTGCTGCGATCACCTACCAAATACACAATCACTACGATTACAGTAAATCCCGTAAAGCAGTTTGAGACGTCTTGATGAGGAGATAAGGTGCTTGTATCAAATGCAAAAATCATTATAAAGGTCAGTGTATTTTTGCTTAACTCAACAATTTTGTTTCTCTCTGACAAAAGATAATTTCATAGGACGTATTCTTTGCCGACTTAGTTTGAAAGCCGTGTTGGAAACTCTGAAGTTCAGATACTAATATCCTTTGTGTAAACCAAAGAAAGGATTAGGGGGTTTGCACTGGGGCCAAGAATACAGTGGTTTGCTTCTGTCTGCCGTCATTTTTAATTAGTCACTGGCTGCTGAGTGAGGAGTGCTGTAGGGTCTGCATTGTTTTTCCATTGTGTATCAGTAGAGCCACAACAACAACAACTTGATTATCTACAGCGCCCTTCAGTACAACTTGTGTTTATATAGCATCCTCACATAGGATAGCATCTCGTTGGGTAATGTCTTAGATAATAATAATAATAATAATAAAATAATCCTTGCCTTTGATACAGATTGCTTTACAGAGACTGAGTGGGACGCTGGGCAAGGGAGGAGGGAGAGGTGACTGTACGTGTGGTTGAAGAGGTCGTTTTTTATGGGATTTAAAGACTGATCGAGAGGTGGGGTGAGACTGGGGGGGGCAAGATGGAGGGGCAGAGGAAAGGAGTTCCACAGGTTAGGAGTCAAGTTGGTTTGGACAGGTGAGGATGCCCAGCAGTTCACCGATAGGAGGGAATGAGTAGAAGATTGGGATAGGACAGAGATGAGGAGCATAGAGATCGGTATGATACTTATCCAGTGAGCGGATCTGAACACTACAAAGCAGTCTTGTTACTTCTTCACTTCAAATAAATAATAAAGGGGGATGTGGGGGAGTGAGCAGGAGCCTGGGGTCGTGTAAAGAGCGTTCGTGTAGAGAAAATCAACAGCGTAGACGTTGGTGTGCCAAATGGTCTGTGAGATTGTACGAAATGTCACAGGACGTCGCCCGAGTACTTTCTGCCCATTTCATAAGAATAACAGCTTGCATTTATACAGTGCTCCTCACATCCCTGAGCCCTTAATAGCATTGTGTCGCAACTCCGAGCTGGAAAGAGACAAACAATTAGTCCAATGCTCTCTGTAGTATAGAAGAATTGTACATTGTTCCTAGTTTGAAGCCTGAGGGGTGATGTAAAATCATTGCCTTTTAAAAATCTGAAGCAGCAGGATTAAAGATTGAAAACCAAGCCAGAAGTATTCCCTCTTTGTAATCCCCCTCGCTGCGTGAGTGAGATCAACTGAGTAGAAATCTGATTTTTAGGCCACGTGCCCACGTTAAATGCAATTAAAAATGTGTCGGCTAGCGTGTTATTAATTGACCGGTTGGAATTCGCTCATTCATGGCACCTGAGCCATGGGGAATAAACTGTTGGCAATATAACGCCATCTGTGTCAAGACTGTCATTTGAGGTCTGCTTTATTGGACTATTAAACCCTAAATGACTTGGTGCCACCGGCTGGGCATTGCCTTCTGTCAGTCACCGTACAATGATCTCATCCAATCCATTGGAGGAAATGTTAAGCAACAACAATAACAACAACAAATTACATTTGTATAGCTCCTTTCACCTTCCAAAGCGCTGGACATCCGCACCTGAGCTGGTGGTTGGGATCAGGAGGGATGGAGGGCGGGGAGGGGTAGGAGGGTGGGTAGGGGTAGGAGGGTGCCCGATGGCACAGTCGAAGTCTGGGGTCTTGACACGGAGAGGAGGAATTCCCTCTCTCACCCACCCATCCCCCCTCCACAGGAAAGCGGCTGGTGTGTCAGCCTGGATGCCCTGGAACACCTTTCCAACGTGAAGGGCGCTAATACAAGTGTAATTTGTTGCTGTTGCTGTTGTCCCTGTCGAGAGGACCTCGGAGCGCAGTGTGAGGCTTCCTTAGTTGCGTGAAAACCAAACTCAGTGATGGAAATTCCTTGCAGCTGAGAAACATAATTGAAACATGGGCTTGTAATGCAGTGCAGCCCCTGTGAGAACGCGCTTCATTACAGTTTGTAATGGGGCGAGGACACTGCGTATGCAGGCGTCTTGGTTCCGTACGAAACAATGGCTGGCTTCCATGTCATCGGGTTGCTGGCAACATCAATTCCTGTGGGATACGCATGTCTGGAGCGATGTGGAATCAAAAAGTTGGCCATTGAGCTCAAGAAATGGCCCCAGCTGTGGGCGTAAGTGCAGTGCATCCATCTATTGTGGCCTTGTTATGAAGTGGGTGGGGATATAGTGGGTCCAAACCACTGCGTTATGATGAGGCAGTGGTTGATAAATCAGTAACTATTCGAAAAGTGAAGGGAATTTCACCTAGTTTCCTGGCCACCAAAGATAATTGGTTGTGCGCTTCACTTCACGGCTGTTTTTCAGGACATTGGTGTCACATTCACCAAGGAAATACAGTGGCTACACTTTATGGTTCATCCTGTGAAGCGCTTTGAGGTGCCCTATTGACATGAGAGGTGCTGTCTGAAATGCACGGATTATCATAAAGTACTCTTAATCCCCCATTTCAGAGATGCCGGTCTCAACTGTGCAAACTGCTCCGAGCAGCAGCAGTGCTGTTCATTGTGGAGCCAGGGGGAAACTGCTCCTTCCGCTCAGCTTTCCAGCACCGGAGACCGGGAGTGGGTCAACCACCGTCCCGGCTACGGGAGGCGCTCAGACCAGGAGCACCGGAACAGGAGCGGAGGAATTGGGATTTCGGAAATAAACTGACTGTCCGAACAAGAAGGGGGGATGGTTTTAGCAGTTCAGTTCCCACTTCCTGTTCCAGTGTAAACCAAAAGACTTGGCAGTGGTCACATCCCAAGTTAAACAGTACCTCCCTAACGGAGCAGTACTCATTGACTGGAAAAGACCCTCGAAATATATTGCTTCTAGAAAATCAAAATGCAAGTTGTTAGTCCACTGGACTATTGATAATTACTTCTCTGACCGTGCTTGTAGTCATCTTTCCCCGCTCAGCCTTCCTGCAGTGGTTTGAGATGTCCTCTCGACGTGGAAGGCGCTGTATAATTAATGATTAATAATCCTTACATTTGGTATAGAGCCTTTCACTTCAGGAGGACGTCTCGAAGCACTTCAAAGGATACACTGTAAAGTGTAGTGACTGTGTAATCTGTAGGCGAAACAAATTGTTTATTCCAGTCAGTCTACTGGACGATTGTGTACTGGATTGAGCTAAATGACGATTCTTACCATTCTACGTCTGTTTTTTTCTTATCTCTTCAGTCCTATTGTCTTGGTGGGTGGTTGGGTGGGGTGGGGAGAGATCGAGCCAGCAACCCTTGCTTCAGTAACAGACTCCAGCATGCTACTATCTCTCACTAGACTGCGGCTGATGGCTTGCTGAAACATTAGCAGCTATTGGCACGTCCATTTGTAAATATTTATCTTACCAAATGGTTGGAAGCTGGGGAGGGTTGTAGTTCGATCTCATTCCAAGTTTACTGTGGTTAGTACTCCATCATGTGCGAGTTTTTTTATATATACGTTAGGATCAGGATGTGTGGTGAGAGGAGCTCAGTCCTACAGAACATTGCAGGTTGTGGCTGCCCAATAATTGGCTTAGGCGTGAAATTAGTGGCTGGTTGTTCATCAAAACAACATGGGGGAGGGGAGAGTTTTTGTTCATTTGGAGGGGAGGGTGAGACAACAGCAACAACTTGATTTATATAGTTCCCCTCCCTCAGGGTAGTGTCCCAGGGGGGTGGAGTTCATTCAATGTGCTTTACATCCCCTCGGTCCATCCCGGGTTATGGTTGGTTGTCTCAGCCTTCTAAATCCACTGCCTCCTCTGCTTTGTTATCTCTCCCCACACACAACGCTCCAGTCATGGGTGACAGCCGTGTGAGAAACACGCATACATACACGACTGGGGAGGACCACTGCGGTCTTTCCTGGCCAGTCACGAGCGAAGTAAGAATTAAAACAAACAACTGACGCCCGCAGAGTGTCTCTCCGTCTCCCTAAATCGATGCCTTTGCCAAGATGCTGTATAATTCCCTCTTTAATTTGCTGTCACAATCTGCCTCCATCGCCTCCCTCCCAACGCCAAGCTGTTGCTAATGTAATATGTTGACAGGGATGTGAACACAAGTGCTCCAGCTGGGTTTGCACCAGTCAGTGTGCGAGTTCCTGTGATTTATAATCTGTTCCTCTAGCTTACAGGGGTAAGAGCACTAAAGGGTTTGGCAGAGAATGGGATTCGGGAAGACATGTAATCAACGCTCTGAAGCGCTCTGAGACGATCTCCTTTATGAAGAGCTTTGTATAAATGCTAGCCATTGAAACGTCTGATAATAAATAATAATAATAATCCTTGCATTCGATATAGCGCTTTTCATGTCGGGAGGACGTCCCAAAGCGCTTCACAGAACACACTGTAAAGTGAATTGACTGTATATTTGTGGGCGAACGCGGCAGACAATTGCGCACAGCAATGTCCCACAAACAGTCGTAGATTGAAAATGACCAATTTATTATTGTTTTTGGTTTTGGAGGGATTATGATTAGGCTCTGTGTGGAGTAAGGAAACTTGCCCAAGGTTTCGCCCTCTGCCTGGAATTGAACTCAGGTCTCTCAC